CGATGTGGCTGAAATGGTACACACATGCAACTGTTAGTAAACAGATTGTGAGTTCAAATCCTGAAGTAATCCGAAGGACAGTGGATGGAATAAAAAAGGCAAAAGAAGAAGGAGGAGGGGGGGGAAGGACGGAAAGACGAGAAAAAAATAGAAGAAAAAGAAGAGGGAAAAGCTTCAAGAAAGGTCATCTCGGATACAACAGGTTAACGCAGCATATATCTTCATTGACTTTGGAAAAGGACTATGACGGTATGACCACGAAGACTTGGTTTCTCAAGATCACTGTCTTGCTGATGCATGCTTGTAAACAAGATGAGCAATGCAAAGGAGCAAAAGGACCAAAAAGGTGATGATAAGGACTCAGACATAGACAATGAGAGCAATGGCATACATGATGACATCAAAGAGACAATGCGTATCCATACACGTTGATACAATCATAAAATGATACAATGCAGCATAGTGGAAGACTCAAACATACGACCTGACTCAAGGGACAGACCCAACTCATACCATCATCATCACACATGTGAGAGAGAAGGGAGGGACAGCATACACAGAAGAAAAGGTCCCTCCTTGAACAAGCACATGGGAGGTATACCACAGATGATGGGAGAGGAAGGAGCGAGACGAAGATGGAGGCGAGGGAGTAGACCAGAGTCAAATACACTACTGTCCAAAAATAGTCTCCCTGTCAAGTGTCCAACCAATGTCTGCCCCAAGAATGTCGATTCAGATCCTAGGCCCCACAGGCCGCAATAGCTCTGCCTGTAACCTCTCTCTCTCTCTCTCTCTGTCTCTGAAGAAGAAGAAGAAGAAGAAGAACAGTGACTTTGGAGGTTGGAGGTAGGAAGAAGGAGAAGAATAAGAAGAAGTCTCCTCTGTCTCTCCCACACCTGCTGCTGCTGAAGTTCTGCCGACACTGACTGCCGGAATGGCGCTCTCTGATGCAGGTTGCTGAAGTGCAGTCAAAGCTATGGCGCCCAGGTACGTCGTCCTCCAACCAGTGGTTATGGCTCTCCAGCCTGCGCTCTCCCACTACCTCCTACTCCTCTACATCTACCTCTACCTCTAGTGCAGCACTCCAGAGTTGCATGCTGCTCCAACAGCGTGATGCTCACAATATTGCCCAACTGAAGATCTGTCGAACTGGACTGCCCTCCCACTAGATATAGTGTTGGGCCTGGCTGGACAGCCCACAGTCTGCATCCAGGAGCGTCGGATCTAAGATATGATCGAAGGCCCTGAGTGCAGGCCCAAATCCTCCTCCTGGTGGTATCTTGCTGCTAAAGCAGGTCCTACCTACTAGGGGAAAGTCGGATGTGACACAGCTGGAACGGACAAACATGGACCAAATAGCAAGACTCAGCAAATAAAGAAAGAAATAGTACATGCTGCATCAAAGAAAGACAGCAAGACTCAGCAAAAAGCTAAATAAGGGAATAAACAAGTGTTGAATCAAGATAAGAACATGCCTGGCCTGGAAAACATGCCTGGCCTGGAAATGGCCTGGATGGGGTAGAAAAACATGCCTGGCCTGGAAATGGCCGTGGGCCTCCAGGTTGCACAGCAACAAAAGTGGTGTGGGGCGTGGGGCCCCTTAACAACCGTTGGTCCCTAAGAAAAAGGGCCCGTGTACAGGCCTCAGCATGCTACACCCCCCCTACTGAAGAAGCTGAGCCGAGGCGAGGGTGAAGCTGGCAATCCGAAGGTGGAACCTGGACACGAGTACGGCGTGGAGCCAAAGGTGTCGTCTTGCCTTGCTGCTTGCGTTCGTAATGTGCGAGAACATCGGGGGCTGTAGCCTGAAGTTCCACACGGGTCAACCGACGGTCAGCCTTATGGCTGCAGTACGAAAAATGCACCAAGTACTCGATCCGCTTGTCGTCGTAACGCCGCTGCGACAGAATGTCACTGACCTCCTGAAAACCATCCATGGAGGGAGGGTCCTGCGATCATCGTCTGGGAAATTCGTCGCACTCCGCTGAAACGAAAGGAGCCAACTTGGAACAATGAAAGACCGGGTGGGCGGACAAGTGGGCGGGGACCTCAATAACAAAGGAGGGCCCATCCGGTGCGTCGCCAGCGGGTGCAGTGATGCGCCAAGGCCCCGTCCATTTCGGAAGGAGCTTGCGAGAGAGATCTTGCTCAAGGCTGAAAAATTCCGCAGGGGGGACCCAAACCAGGTCGCCCTCGCAGAATGGGCAAGGACGACTTTGCCGATTGGCTTGACGACTCATAAACTGTTGCATCTTTGACATCTGATCCCGTGCCTTGACGAGCAGCTCTTGCATCCGTCGAATAAAGGCAAGGTGGTCGTCGCTTTCGGCCGCCCGTGGAATGATAGTGTCAAGAGGAGACCCGGCTGGTGAGCCATGTTCGAAGTCGATTGGTGAGATCCCATAACCGGATGAATGGATGAGTTGTATGCCAACTCAAAGTCGGGCAAACGCTCCACCCAATCCTTTTGGTCGGGGCGAATGAGAGTGTGACGAAGAAATTGTGCGGTTTGGTGTGTTCTCTCTGTTTGACCGTCGGTCTGTGGGTGGCGTGCCGAACTCGGCTTGAGAGATGATCCCCATCGCTTCACGAGACCAATCCAAAAATCCGACATAAACCGAGTATCGCGGTTGCACACAATCTCCTTGGGGTAACCCTTGGTATGTATCCAACCAGCGTCGAGAACTTCGGCTGACTCCAGTGCCCTCGCATGATAGCGGCAAGGCGACAACATAGCGAACTTGGTGAGTCAATCCACCACCATAAGGATGCCATCGACGCCGGTCTTGTGATTGGGAAATGGGCCGGTGATGTCCATGGCAATCGATTGTCACCGCCCCACGATAACCGGTAGTTGGTGCAACTCGTCGAACGGACGACGATTGCGGGGCCTGCAACGTCGACAAACTTGGCATGACTGGCAATACCGTGTGAAGTCGGCAATGAGACCGGGCCACCAAAATCTCTCGCGAAGTCGGCTACTCATACTGTTACGGACTCCGCCAGGGCTCGATCCCTGGTCTCCAGGTTACCACGTGCCAGCTTGCTGTATTTTTTTTATTTTTTTCTCTTGTTTTGCAATTCCTTTTGTTTTTTATTCTTGCTTTTCTAATTTCAGACAGTTGGCGCCATCTGCATTCTGGCGCCCGTTTTTAAATTCCTTATTTTTTAACTTTCGGATTTCGGACACTTGGCGCCATCAAACATTCTGGCGCCCAGTCTCAGACTTTCGATTTTTCCCTGAGGCATTTTCACTTTCGCCCTCAGGATCGTACTTGAGTCCGGTAATTCTATACAGACTCAAGCCTAGTACAGACACCAAGTTTTCAGCCTCAATGCTTGTGTTCAGTGCGACTTCGCTTCGACATTGTGTTCGGGAATTCAAGACTGTGACTTTGCGACTTTTGCCACTTTGTGTCTGTGTCCGTCGAGTCGTGTCGAGTCTGCGTCGACTTGAGTGAGTGTGTGTGTGTGCTCTCACTCTCCCTCTCTCTCCCAGTCTCGCTGCTCTGCCACTGCCTCGTCGCACTGGTATCGGAGCGGCGTCGATCACCCTCCCGCCCCCCCTGATCGACGCGGAGCAGCTTCAACGACACCGCGCCATCATCATCATCATCGTCTTCGTCATCGACATTGCCACGTCATTCCCATCACCGCCATCTCCAACGTCGACATTGCCACATTATCGTCATCGTCGTCGCTACCACGACATCAACAATCCTGAATCGCCAATGACAAGGCGCAGGTACACTATTATTCTTTTCTTTCTTCTTTTCTCTTTTCCCTGTTTTCTCTTCTTCTCCGTCATTTCTTCTCTTGTTCCTCCTCCTTTTTCCT